TAAGAATTTCTATAGCGCTGTCTATCTAGAAATTCTATTCCGAGGAGCATTAATTATTACCTCGGCTTTAGCCTAGCTACCATTACAGCGCTCTAGCATTTCAAGGAATTAATTCCTGCCGCGTACCCATTTACCTCACCTGGGTCGAGTGTGGTAAATGAAAATTAATGCCTTGCCAAAGGACATTAGTGCCTTTGAATTTCAAGTCAAGTGCTTAAACCACTCGACTACGACACTTCTACAATCGCATCCGAGGTCCTCAGCATTCTAGAACAAAAATAAAGGTGTAAAACTTTAAAAATCTTTAGAGACCTTCTAGTACTACTTTCACACCTGTGGATATCTATAAAGCTGGCCACCTGTTTACAATAGACCATACCTTTAATACCAACATAGGAGTTGCAACACTATACGGGCTTTGAATGGAAAACGAGAAATAGGGGGCGGGGGAGGGGGGGGGGGAGTGCTGAGGTATCCACTTGATTCGCCAATTAATACGTTATATCGGAAAGACACAGAAAAATGCACACATTTCTAAAAGAAAGAAGTTTATTACGTGAGTTATGCATTGACAAAAAAGGACTAGACCAAGTGAAGAAAAAGAAATTGGCAACACACATACAAGTAGGTTTCTTGGACGCACATATTCGTTACAGTCTTAAAGTTGATATTCATTGATTTTAAAAACTAAATTTCTTTTCATTATTGCAAAGTTGAAACTTTGATTCGACAAGGTTATCAAAATTCAATGCTTGGAAACATTCGAAGTAATGATTATTAGAAATTACAAAACGCTTAAATACAGCCCCGGCATAGCACCGGAAGAGCTCTCCGAACGCTGCTGAGATGTGTGAGATCACAGTATGGACCTGACTTGCACAAGCAGACGATGCCCCATGACATCTCACACATTTTCAGTGCCTGTGTTTTCATCTTTTCTTGAGTTCTTTCTCTTACTTCACTACCGTCAGGCTAAATGTATAATCTATTGCCTCACTCTTAACCCCGCGCATGGTTTTATTTTGATGACAAATGCAGCGATACAAAAATAAAGGAATATGTCGCTTGTAAACAAAATAAGACGCCATTGTATATTCAGCTGCACACACCGGGGTATGTTCGGCGTTTCAAGAGGGAAAAAATGCTTCCTTAATATTATTCCAGGGGGTTTTCAATTTGAAAGTCTGGTTTCTTTGATTGTTAATTAACCCCTATCCTGTGTATTTACAAGCAAAAGATTTTAGTTACCAGAATCGGGTCATATCCCCTTTTGAATGGTTTTACATGCCATTACATTTATATACACTAAACTCATTATAATTTGACAAATAATAGCTTTGCAATTATGTTCATTCTCTATGGGATGTCGTCTGCTTGGGCAGTGTTGGTCCATATAGTGACGTCATTAAAACATCGTTATTTTTCCGGCGAATCTCTGGTATATCCCAGCTGCTATGGAGGTGGTTGTATTTGTATTTTTTATAAATCACCCGATATGTCGTTGACCTATAACTTGTACGATGGCCATCTGTTAGATTACCAGTTTCTAGTCATACATTAGTTGATATATTTGTGATTTTCTTTGAATTTCACCTTTAACACTAATGTGTATTATCTTGCGGGGAAATTCATGTCAAAGTAGATCCACGGAATAACTACGTACTCCTCTATACATAAATAGTTGATTGAGCTTTGAAAACATCATGTTAGAAATATTCATGATGAATTAAACATGTCTCCGTGGAACGCTCTGGAAACATAACCCGAATGTCTTATAATGTGACATGTGATAAATGTCCATGTTCTTGGGGATTCGATATATCAAAGTTTTATTTTTACGGAAAAATGTTCAGCTCCTATTTCATTTTAATATTAAATGTCTTTTCTTTTTATCGCTGTCTACTTCTTTTTTTAATTTTTTATTGAGAAGTCTTTCTAAATGCCAATGAACTTAAATGTCATATACAAGGCACATTCTCTTTAAGGGCGAACTTAAAAATGAAGCAAATATGTAAAAAAAAAAAAAAAAAAAAATGCTCCTAGCTATCACGTCTGTCTGTTTTCTTCTCCCCTCTCATCGTGTCTGGCTCTCTGCCTCTGTCTCTGACTCTACCCCTCTCACCATTTCTTCCCCTCCCTCTTCCTATATCTTTGTATCTCCCTAACTATGTCTCTACATATTTTTCTCCTTCTCGAACTCTCCCCATCATTAATAAAAAAACAAAAAACGCACACACACACAACACGCACATGCACACACGCACACACACCCTATCCTCCCTCATTTAGCCCCTCTCTCTCTCTACTTTTATCCTTATTCACTAAATATTCCATCAACGTCCATCTAATCGTTGCATACAATCATAATTATGGCCATTCCTCGACATATTTTCTATGTCTGTCCCCGTTTCGCATGGCAGGACCCCCAAATAATCGAAGGCATACCAAAACAACTCGTTCCAGGCATCATTCAGCGGACCTAAATTACGGGAGTGATCCAAGCTCGCTTATGACAAGAGAAACAGAGCTCCTGAAAAGAGGAGGCTACAGAACGAGAGACAATAATTAAAGGTTTTAAGGGAGGAAGGCAAAGGCATCCAACCTGTCCTCAGCAGGCAGCCATCATTTGATGCGATGCAAAAATAATTACCGCAATCCATGGGCTTCGGTTCGGAGTACGCTGGAAACTTAATGGAAATAAATACTCGGTGTGCGCATCGGGGAATTAGTTATAATTGTAGCCGAGGATTTCACCGAGCAGGTAGGTCTGGGGGTAAGTGGGACCGGCGACCGAGTTCTTTACATGCCGAGAATTCGAGATGTCAAGTGGAGGAATCTTACGGAGAATTAAGTCTTCTACTGCCAGAGAATTTTGGTACGTAGTTCCTAGTAGTTTATCAATATGGAATCCAAAAGGGCAGCATTCTTGAAAGCGGATTAACTTAATCTCCGAAACTGGACTTAACTTCTACACGATCACAAAAACTTTCGAAAAATAAAGTCAAGGGGAATTCGGATACTCTCATGTATGTCCCACAGTAAACAATGTAATGTTCGCATATTCCACTAGGTAATAGACAAGGCTGTTGAAATAGCGTAAGCTTGATGTTAAAGTCCTTGCGAGCGTTTTCTTGTAGCCTATGGATTCATGAAAATGGAAGTATTGATATCTATTATTTCGTATACTTATTGTAGTCATTCCATTTTACATCAAACACATGACTGATATAAACATAGCTGTGAAATGAAATGAGAAATCAATTTCATGTCACACATTAATTTGTTCATTTGATAGCAGAATCGGTTTTGTTTGATTCGCAAAGGATAAAGAGGTATTAATGTGTACTAATGTTGAAATGTATAACATGGGTTTTATTGCATTCATAGAACTTATACGCGTAGGTAGGTGCATAATATTGATATCATGTATCAACATTTTGAGCGTACTTACGTGTATACCTGACTTAAAATAAAAATACTGACCTCAAGATACTAATGTCTATTCATACAGATGTCAGTTAAAATATTAATTTTATGTGTGGCTCATACTCATTTAAGCCAACAGCGCAGAACTGTTGAAACAAAATAAGAATAAACGTTCAAATTCCCCTAAACTGGTAAACAACAGAACACTTATGTTGAAAATTTAACATTTTAGGGTTCGACTCTCACATCGTTTCCCCTGATCGGTGCACAATTGTCACGACTTGGGGTGAACTCCTCTTGCCCTCGTGTAAATCTGTACCCTATCGTAAAAGAAGTAACCCTTAGGAGACAAATTTGGAGCTTTATTTCTTAGTGTCTATAGAAACCAGGGGGAGATTGATAGATAAATCATAGAGAGAGGAGTCTGAGCGATCACGAAACGGGCGGGAAGTGAGAGAGAGAGAGAGAGAGAGAGAGAGGGGGGGGGGGGGGGGGGAGGGAGGGAAAGATGTGACATGAAGTTTTTTTAAAATAAGTAAAAGAAGAAGATACAACTAACCCCAACCGTTCGGCGTGATTTATATTTTATCCTTATGTTAAGACCGGCCACCCGCGTGATGAGAGTGCCCCCGACTTGAGAAAATGGCGTGAATAATCCTCCCAAAATGAGAATTCATTAATTTAACGGTGTGTTTATTGAAAGGAAGGAACATAGCAACAAACTTAACGCTTCAACAGTCCTCAGTAATAAAGTGGAACAAACATGATACATGAACGGGATAATCCTACAATGTTTATTTCGCCACGCGGGATCAATCTAAACATTCATGCATCACACGCAAGAACGTAACTTTTTGGCCCACTCTCACTTTGTCTTTGAACCGTAAATTCCATGGGATTGAGAAATACAGACTTAATTGCTTGTTCTTAATCTAGCAGTTTCAATATATTTTGATGTTGCTTAAAGAAAACAAAATAACGAACGTGTGGGTGTGCGCGTGTGCGAGTGACTGAGATAGACGGGGGTGCCGAGGGTGGGGGGCTGGTAAAAAGAGTAAATATGAGGGAGACAGAAAAAGAGATATACTTTCAGAGAGAGAGAGAGAGAGAGAGAGAGAGTGTGTGTGTGTGTGTGTGTGTGTTTGCGTGCGTGTGTGTATGTGTGTGCAGGAAAGAGAACATAATACAGAGTCAGAAGATAATTAATGTAACTTAAGCTTTACATATAAAGAAATAAAAAGGCAAATCAATATTTTAAGTAACTTACGTATTTTATGCTATATGCATCAAAGAGCATTATCAACTGATATGTTTCACATCATTCTATAAAGACCTGACTTGATTGTTTGTAAAAATGTGATTAAGAATGATCAATAAAACATAAAAATAAAAAAAAAAGTAAAAAAAAAAGACCTGACTTGATTTGCGGGCTAATAAAATAATTGGCGAATTAAAATGATTCTCATCATGTATATCACTTTAATTAAAGATAATTTTATCAAAAGATCATTATCAGTTTATAATGACATGTACACAATGACGATATGAAATAAGAAAGACACTTACGAGCACAATCAATTTTTACAATTATTTATTTGATTCAAAATCGAGAAATGATCAGAAGCGGAAAATACTAATTTTCTTAAACAATCCCGGTCAAGAATCTTCGTTGAAATGGACGTTTGTTTTTCAAGTTTGTACCATTATAACTTGATACTAAAAATCTATCTATAATCCCAATAATGTAATGCGATAAGATCTACTGTGAAGACAATGCTGCATTCGTTTTTCATTAACGCTACTTTACACTAAAGTTTTACAAATACAGACAGATGCATCGAGAAAACACATATTGTGGACAAACTGTTGCATAATTTGACAAAATTTTGAACCCAGGTATCAACTCACATAAAACAGAACATAGTCACGTGGCCTCTTTCTAAATGATAAATTTTACCTCTGTGTAAACGCACAAGAATGATCAACATGTTCATAATTATATCTTAACATCGTTTAACAGGTTCAAACTCAAATGGAAGAATCAACATATTTCCTGTACAAATGATATCTGATGTATGTCGAGCTGCCGCAGCAATACACCTCCGACTGAACAACAATGCATTAATTGATAAAAAACAAAACTTTGACAAAACTCATTACCTTCTTAAAGTGTTAACATGAATCACTTTCTTTAACTGTTGATATATCAATGCGTCATAATAATTACAATAAAAACCAATAGCCTGTAACGCTCTAAAATTCTTTACATGCGCAACAAAACAAAAAAAATTGACAAGATTATTGAAGTGAATCAAATGACGTTAATTCTTTATCGTCACTCCATTCGGGAAGATAACAAGACTACGAAAACTCTTTCAGGATCACGTAAAGCTTAAAGATAAAGTTGAGTCCTGGTCATTTGCAAATGAAACATTTTAGAAGCAAAGGGAGAAGCCCGATTATGCAGTAAATACAATTGATGTATACAGAGAGAATTTGGAATCATCAAGATGATAAGAAAATGACTGAGTCTTGCTGAAGGTCATATGTAATGCACACAACAAAATGTGTACATGGGACTATACACAAGTGTGGCATGAAAGTTTTGTAAAAACACTTAAGCTATTTTTCGTAATTTTGCCAATTGAGGGGGTTGGAAAAGCAATCATTTTGAGACAACTTTTCTTTCATAATATTCTACTCCTCCCCCCTTGAAAAAAAAAAAAAAAAAAGGTAAAGAAAGAAAAAATCAATAATTATTTCCAAGCCTACCGGAACTGAACTTTCTCTTCGACTCGAGTCAACCGGTCCTGAAAATATATCCCTACGTAAATACGGCTTTCATGTCACAAGACCTATATGCTCTATAGATTCACAGCTATATTTGGTTCCGTCATACATACCGCATGACGAGGGCGAATGGGTACCCACGGCCGGGAGTGGCGTTTGGAATACATTGACCCAGTAGTAAATTGATGAAGAAGTCGGTCTAACTACTGAGAACCTTGCCAGCTCACAGAGTTAGAAAGCATGGTATATTAATGACAAATGGTCTCAACGTACTGGTAATTACAGTGTCTCATACAATTTAAGCCAATTTGAGAATGAAAATTGAAAGATGGTTTTATTTGAGGTGGGAGCCCAAACAGATTTCGTAATATAATGCTTTATTTTAGGGATGAAAACTTATCATTAAATCTGTTATACAATTATTTATGACGATCTTTTGATATCAAACACCTAACGAATTATCTCCAAACCATGCTAGGTCAATACAGGATTTTTTACAGAGAGACTACAAGCAAAGAAAAGTTGAGAGCCAGGAGGGCGTTAACCGAACACAAAGGGATGGTAGATAACGCTTTTCGGTCCTCTTTTCAATGTTTTATTTTACCATTTGACCATATTGAAATGAATATATGATAAGTATTTCAACATTTCGTTTGCATAAGTCTTCAATTCATTTAGCAATACAGTGTGTACTCTCATAGTTGTACATTTTTTTAATCACCTACAGTATTTAATCAACTCAGAAAATCATTATGACACCGATATGACACTTCAAGAAACGTATTGATTAATCAAGATGTTAAAAATACATTCCTCAGACAAAAACATTTTCTGTGTGGGTTGCAACTGAATTAAAGACAAATTTTCAACCATTTGAAATGCATAGCATTGGAGCTGTCACACGGTGATCTTCGTAAGTTCATGTGATTAAGTTGCAGAAGCTTCAATGCAATAATAGAAATTAAATGAAATAATGTCGTTCACGTAAAAGGCTCGAAAAAAAAGTCATGTTCAAACTTTGTAATTTGTAATTCATACAAATCCTTAGCCGTGAATTCTTTTTTAAACTCTTGTAATTTTACTATTATTTTAACTTTTTATTCAAGACTTATACGTCAAAATTCGTTATATCTAATATTTGTATTTCGACGATGCATTAAAACGATTAAACAAACACTACTTTTATTATTTCAACCAATTCTCGACAAGAAATGTACCATCTGATCACATTTGCTAATTTCTAGTGAGGAAGGCAATGTAACTTAACTGTATTGCATATATTTTCTTATAGAATCGAGTCCGGAGCAAACGAAATAATATATAAATATTGAAAATACTAGTGATGTATGATGTGTCCCAAGTATAATGATCAATGACAACTTTCATGTATCATTCTCAATATCTATATCCCTAGCCGTCGTCCTCCATCATATTATTTCTATATCCTACAGCATTTACAGTCAGTTTTTAAACCGTATGCCGATTCCCTTTTTTCTTTTCGTTTATGATATGCCATACCTACCGAAATTTACGTGAATAGAAAATAACTATAGAAATGGCAGGTCTTAATATGATATTAAACAAAAATCACACAACAAAACCCATCATGACGCCCTGTAGTTGTGACAGTTTGAAAATGAAAGAAAACATTAAAACATCATTCATTTAGGGTTGGACTTTACATGCTTGTTTCGTGAATGAAGAAAAAACACCTTTTCTTGAAAATAATGTTTATTATTCTCCTTTACTAAATACACGTCATCTTTCAAAAATAGCAGCCGAGTGTATATCTCATAATGATTATTGGTACACCTTCCTTTGAAACATTATAAACAAATAAACACATTTTATTTTCTTCAACATATACTATCTAACTTTCTCTTTACACGTAAATAATCTGACATGATGTATATATATCGTTTCTTGGTTCAAATATACAAGAAAGACTATTGTAACAACTTGTTTCATCTCCGTATATGTATGTACACACTAGAACGTGGCGTATATGCTGGTATTATCTTCCCGTTCCGTCTGTTAATTTCATACAATATTTAGACGAACAAAAACAAGCGAAATATTGTATTATAAACGAATAAACAGATAAGTGAATGGAACCTTAACAATGTTAACTATCAATTAAAAAAAAAACGAACATGTCTTTTTTCTAGAAGACAACTATTTTATAGGCTAGTCTATAATTCAACATACAATATGATAATGTCTAGAAAATTCTGAGGTTGAATGTCTAGTATCATTAATTTTTTATTTTAATTTTCTTATTTATCGATAATACTAATACACATGTTTTTCTTCTAACACAATATGAATTCTAAGCAACACATATTAAAGTGCTTATTGCGATATGTTATTGATGTACATATATATACATTCCCCCGCTGAATTTTTTTCTTCTTCACCAGATAAAAGATTTCTTCATCTTGAGACATATCATCGAGTATAAAGGTCAATATGAAATCACCTGATATTTATCATAAGTATCACGTAACATTCAACCGCAGCCACTTGATGAGTAGATGAAAATTCACGTGATACTTACCGTGAACCAATCACAACGCTACACCGACTTTCTCTCTCTCCACAACAAACGTGTATCATGTTCAAGTAACGTGCTCTCCCTCCCCGTTTGTCCTATGGCATCGCTAGAAGGAGATGGCGTTGATTTGGAACAAGTTGTTCTAATCTTTAACTTTGAGTATTTACAAGCTACATAATATTGCAGGGTATTTTCAATCAGGTTCTGGTTCAAAATGAAGGCTTCGGTGACGCGGCAGCAGATAAATGCACATTGATCGCTATTTTGATTACCACGCTCAAGGAACAATTGATAGAGTTGACAAACGAATCATGCCACAAACAAAATGGCTGTCGCAAAATTTCTTCGATGGTAGCTCACTTACAACACAATAATTCAATAAAGGTAAAACATTATTACGCTGCTTGATAGGCAAATGTCATTTAGGATCCTGATTTAACAAACGATCAGTAAAATCAGCGAGATGATTCCAACCATTTGCAGTTTAATCTTCTCGCTTTTATCACGCTTCTCTTCTCAAAATCCATGTAATGAAACGCTTTCTGAAGACGAATGGAACAATAAATATACATACATGACAGGCAATAGTCCTTTGGTTATCTCTAGTTTTCTCTCAAATGTTTAATGTCATTTTGGTCACTTTGTTGTTTTAGTTTGATAGAAAATAGTTTTGAAGGCTTGATGCTTGGGCGTGTCATCACAAACTGGTGGGTTTCTTGGTTTCGTTGGTGGTAGGAAGGGTAATCTCATCGCGTAGGGAGTGGTTGCTACCCCCCATTCCTGGAGGTGTTTGGTGGTTGTTGTTAAGCTGTGTGATGGGGAGGGATGTAACAAGGGCTTGTTCGCACAATGCAGCTACCTCCTGTGGTGAGCGGATGGAAGGGATGGCATCAGGGAGAGATGGAGGGGGAGATGAGAGTAGAAGGGCGGGGAGGATAATAGAAGAAAAACGATCAGAAGACAAAGGGAGAGTGAGAGAGAGAGAGAGAGAGAGAGGATAGAGGGGAAATAGAGAATACAAAGATAAATTGTGTGTGTGTGTGTGTTTGTGTGAGTGAAAGAAAGAAAGAGAGAGAGAGAGGGAAAGACAGAGAGACATAGAGAGAGAGGGGGTGTAAGGGATGGAAGATAACATTAATATTGGGAAAGGAGATGCGGTAAGCGTGTTTGTGAGACAGAGATACATAAAGGGGAGGATGATAAAGATAAGAGGCAGAAAGAGTGGTTTTTGAAAGAGAGAAGGGGAGGGGCAAAATAAAAGAAATAGAAGGTAAAACAAAAAAGTGTTGAAATCCATGAAATGGAAAAGAGATTGAAAGAAGACAGAAAGATGGGGAGAGAGAGAAATTTGGGATGAGGGAAAAGGAGGAGAGGAGTAAGATTGAAGAAAAAAAAAGTATAATACTTTAAAATATTTCAAAAAGAAAAAGATAACAATCGCAATTCATGTATTATTTTATAAGCAATTTATTTATAGTTATGAATCACTTATTAAAAGGACGAATATATTTGTGTCTAAACCTACAGAACAAAATCGTCATTTTAACAACAAATTATAGTTTTGGATAATTGTATATTCATTGAAAATATATTTTTTAATGAAGTTTATTTCCCTTTCAGTATTCATCATAGGTGAATCAGGTCAAATCTGAAATTTGTTTCTCTTCCATAAAGAGGACCAATAAACATTGACAAAATAACATTTAACGATACATTGGATCTGTGGAGAGCTAGAACATGTAGAAGGGCGTTAGGGCGTTAACTCATTGTCAAAGTGTATGAGTTAACGCCCTTCTCGCTCTTAATAGATGGTTGCATACAAAGACAAGGAACGGAGACAGACTGCGTGTGTCTATGTTGAGCTATCATGGTGCACTTCTAAGAAATGGAAACATATTGTGTGATGTTAGAAAAGAAGCTAGATATTGGTGAAAGTGCAATAATCAAATTGGCTTAATTTATACGAGGGTTATACGAAAATTGCTCCTGCGACGTTTGCCTCCGGTCAATATCCTACACTACCCGAAATCTCAACTTCAACACTGGACACGACATTATAGAGTGGTGAAGTGTGACGTCATCGACAACATATTTTTCGAATTTCTCAATTTTAATTTCATTTACGAAAGAGAATCAAAAATTGTGTCCAAATGTTGAAAACCAATTGAATATGTTAAGTATGGGCTGAAATATGACCATCTGAATAATAAGATTTCCTATAGGAACACAGTATTATTATGCTCTGGTTCGTAATGAAGTTCAAATTGAGAAATTCTAAAAATAGATTGTTATGATGTCACAGCTTCGGTACTCTTTACCGAACCCTTACCCTAAACCTAACCTAAAACCCAATTTAAACCCTTTCCTTAATCTTATAGTTTAAATTAATAAATCCTGGAGTAATAGTCGCAAGAGCAAATGTCGAATCACCCTCAAGAGATAGTGGCAAAGCACACATAATGCATTTTAGTTTACAGGAAGCATGAGCAGAAGGAAGTATTTAGAGAACCATTTTAACTAATTCGTTTTCAAGAAATATCTAAACAAACTACCGGCTATATTTTTAACATAAATAAATACCACAGTATAGAGAAAGGAATGCATTTTTTTGTCTTTTGCGAGAGGCACAAAGCTTGCGACAAATTAATTTGCATAAGTATCAAAGGTACGCATAAACCAATATGAAATGAAAGATAATAAGTATTGAATCAAATCTTGAGTTCTGGTAACAGAATTAAATTTGGCTTAGTGTAATTCTCAATGATGGGTCATTTAGTGTGTGGGTTGTTTAAACCAACACATTATACGAACACTTATTATAAGTTTTAGGCCATGAGTAAAACATTATCTTGGAAACTGTTGACATTTATTAAATGGAACTAAAAAGTGATAGCAAATCAATTAAAGCGTCATCTTTTTCAGTTAAATTTATTATCAAATGTCCATTAAATACTTTCAAAAGTGGTACTTTTGAGGCTTTTCTTGTTTTGTTTTTCTACCTTAAAAAAGAAAAAAGAAAAAGAAAAATAAATTTAAAAAAATGAATGAATAAATAAATAATTTAACAAATATATCGATAAATAAAGGAACAAAATAGAAAAATGTAAACTGAAAGAACCAAATGCTTGAAGGTTTATAGCGCGCTTGAATTATAGCTGGGGAGAAATTGTCGTTTTCTTTCCGTCTCTCGTATCCATGGTAAAATGATATAAGCATTGATTGTGATATATGAAGAGTAAACCCTTGATTTTTATGACAGGAATAATGAGAAGGTTGTTTGGCGTATTACGTGGCTAGGTTATTGCCCCCCTGCCTTCTAGTTCATGGTATAAAGCAAATACAAGCTACTGTTTGCTTATATTTTCATTGACTGCACTCTATAAAATTGATCTCTTGTACTTTATTATCCGAAGCAAATGATAATGTAATTTGCACTTTGATTCGAATCATCTTGTTCACGACTGTAGATTAAAAAGGCATATAGTCCTTACAGAGTACAATACTAAAAGAGTAAATTGGAATCTGATGGAACTACTCTTTTGTCAAGCATACGTTGCCGGTAAAATATGAAAGGATAAATTGCAAACGGGGGGGGGGGGGGTGGGGTGAAAGATGCAACGCCCTCCTCTTATTACGCTAATGGTCCTTAAGCCCACCAGGTTAAAAGATAATCGATATTAAAGCCTATGTCTCTTCGACTTCAGTTTAATACTGTGCTGTCTTAACGTGTGAGCACCCTTTCACCAAAGTGTGCCGTCTATGCCTGGCATTGGTCCTGCTATCTTCTCGGGCAAGAATGTTAAATTGCCAATATTCCTCCAATAATTCATCCGAAATGAGTTCCCCGGGGGCAGACAGATAGGCATTCCCCGAATAATATCTTTCATCCAATTCTTCCCTCTGCTTTTCATGAACTCCAGATTTCCATCAAATACAAATTAGCCTAACAAGATTTAGATAAATCACCGTAAGCAGTGGTTTCGGATTCCAATCTTTATATCCAAAACGTTTCCATGGAAACAATACAGTGCATTTAGAGAAAAAGCGCATATAAATGTCATGTGACTCAAAAAAGGGAAATGTTTCCAGCAAGAGATTTCAGGGGATGTTTTCATGATTTTGGAGGATTGGAGTAAAGTATCATGGTATTTGACATTACTAAACAGTTATATACGTACTGGCAAACACATAGCAGTCATTTTCCTTCAAAGAAAAGGAACACATCTGTATACCCTAGTCCATTACGAATACAAGTAGAGATGGATTCTTTGATTCATTATAACACACTTTAATGAAGAAGTAAAACAGTGGAGAGTAAATGAAAACTTTCACCGTCGCTCTAATCAATAATCAAATATTGACCTTCCCCCTTTTGTATGAAACCGATACTTTACATCGGTACATTAATTGTTTCCATGCATGCGCTGAAGGTCGGCTCGTTAACAGCACACCGAAAACAATTAGCGTATACTCTCTACCAAATGGCGGTCATGACAATTTGGTGTCACGGCGGTGAAAACCGTCGCACTTTAACCGGTAATTTCTGATAACTGATTGCGTGTTTAGCCTATCAATTTATGAAATAGCATGCTCGATGACTCTTCATCGCCTGCGAGAGGAAATCGTTCTCTTTAACAAATTGGTCGCGTAGTTTACGAAGTGCCTTGGAAGTGATCATGCTGATTAAATTTATTCCATAGAATTAATGGGTTCCCAAGCGAGCCTGGTCAGATACTTTATAATAATATTCACAGTTAACACTTGTGCAAGTATATAAATTGCTGCTGGTCAAAAAAGATTGATAGTTTATGACGTTACTTAAATACATGAGTTGCATGATAAAATAGCAAGTATGAATAATTTGTTGAAAAGTAGGATGCCAGTTTTGCAGGTCAAATACAGTTGTTTTTTAATATAACAAATGGATATCTAGGTAAATATAGGACAGACTACAGAGCATGACATTCTTCTTTGAGATGTCACAAATAAATGATAATATATTAAAACATTTTTAGACATTTTAGATTGACAATAAAAGGGTTATATAAAACATTTGACCAACACAAGGATAAGGTTTAACAATCACTGACCACATAGCAAAACACAAAGATGGAGAAAGACAGATAACACATTCAGCATGTGAACAAAAAACAGGTGACGTACATTATTATAAAACGTCAGTTTATCCTTTCATTTTTTGTAAAGTAAGGAATTATTCCAGAACATGACATAATTTTTGTTGTCACATCGCCTCAGTAATATACATTACATGACACAGACGTAAGAACTACGCAGACATCAGGACAACAAGACCAACAATGACAACAATTTAGTAGCGGTGATTATAGCAATAGCTTTTGCGAGAAAGGGCGAGAAAGAAAGTTTGTTAGCCATGTAGAATATTAGAAATATTTTCAGACTTCAGATTTGTCATTTCATTGTAAGATTGGTTCCACTTTAGTTCAGATAAAGTCACATGCTTAACAATGAATTGTAAATGTTTTTTTTTTGGATGGGTCTTTATTGGATTAATAATAAAATAACAATACATATCAACGGGCCAAGTCAGGAAATATTTGTTGTTTTCAACAAACCTTCCACTTTTGGTAACAATTTTACGCAAGTAGATGTAAATGACTTTTCTGAAGTAATTTATATTCAAAATATGGACAAAGTCACTTTTTTCCCCTTTCCAATCTGACAATTTCCGTTATTGTACATGGCCGGGCATTATACAACACTTAGCAACCATAGTAGCAAAATGTGACAAGACAGCTACACTACTGATAACACTTGAGCATTAACATTTGATGAGCATTATAGGTGCATAGTTGCAGTGAAGAATCAGGCCTAGCTAAAGGAGTAAAATTAATAAATTATATTAGAACAGGTACATTGTGCGTTAAATCACGGTAGAAAGAAAAAAAAAATGAAATAATGTAATGCGCATGTGCAGAAGGTGTTTGGTAGAAAAGGTGCCAGTGTGAGTTTATCATACCTGTCAACTCAAACCCATGTAATGCGGGTCAATATGACCCTTTCATTTGTCGTTTTGAGATTCTTAACCGGTGAACCGGAAAGGTGAAATATCTGAGAAAAATTTAACGCATTCTATGATATCTCAGAGGCAGACGCGCATGAAAATAATCTCGATATATGAATTTAATCCCTTCGAGAAGAAGAGATGAAAGATGGATTATACATTTAGGGTTCGGGTGACAGGTACGATAGTGTGAAAATGAATAAATGCATAAGTATCTGTGCATGTGCAGTGTGATGTTCTAGTTAGGAAAATGCAACTTTTAGACGACTGTGCGTGAAATGAAATATAAAAAAAAATGCTTGGATGGAATGAAATGAGGAAAAAAGAATAAGTTTCTCTTCTACGAAGCCGGTGAATGTCCTACACCATTTATTCTACTACAACATCTTGACAAATGAGAGAGCAGTGAAGAGGCCTTCGCAACTGTGCAATGAAGAATGGTGAAGCAGATGATCCACAAGCCACTAAACATTTTTGCGGGTAGCAGGATTTCCCGCGTATTTATAAAATCATGTGTCGCCCGATGAGCTTTTTTTGTACCTACATTACGTTGAGAGATTCGAATGCCATTCCGATGGGGTGTGCGTGAGAACCAAGCTACCTGCTTGCCAATCGTGAGGTCGGTTGGGGACCTTTAACGTCCCCCGTCCGCTTGCAAGGTACAAGCTACGGTGGTGTGGAAAAAAAGGCGGCATGCAAAGCAGTGAAATAAAGACAAAAGTCGTCTAAAAATTCATTTCAGTTCATTCTTGGGATGATGACAAATATGAAAGGATGAAAGCAAAAATATTTACACTAATTTATGTCGTGATTGTGAGATGGTTTATGATGATTATTGCCGACTATTGTGAAGTGCGATGGAACGAGCCTGCTTGCTTTCATCCATGGAAGATGTTGAAGTGTTGGGTTTCGCATCTAGCACTAGTCCCACATGTGCAACACTGTGTTGTGTTTTTGATGTAATGACCGTGATTTTAGTCGTCCATCAAGAACAATAGTTCAACAAAGGCCTACATAAACACAAAGACAGTTGAATATAAGGAATTATATAGAAAGAGAAACAACCAACTAAAACAAACATTATCTCTTAATCAGAGAAAAAAGGTTAAGAATGAATATGAAAATAGATCCTGGGATCAAGACCCATAGTTTGAGTAGGAGACGCCGTCATAATTGTAGAGAGTGTAGAGCCTTCAAAAACGAAGTCATAAGTTATTTGGCTATGTATGAATATGTATATGGACAGTACGAGGATGAGATTAATACATTTTAGAGTTATGAGTATATATATATTCATAATTTATATATCATATAACATTATCTTATACAATTACAACATTATATGTGTTGATATAACGATGTTAAAACATTGCAAATCATTTTTTACTCATTCTCAGAAAACCAATTAAATAGAGAATTTATTGCGTGTTAAAACAACAGTACGATACCGATAACAAAATTAGTTCATATTATTTGCTCTGAAAGTATAAGCCTTCCATGATCAACCATTTATATATGTTGGTTTAGAAGCATAAGTAATTTCACTCTTATTATGGAACTCTGTCAGTATAGATTTAAACAAAGACATATAAAAATAAGGTATGACAACGAGAACCATGTTAATATTGAAATAGTTGCATTGAACATTTTAACAGATTATACGCTTTTTAAAATCTAAAAATCTTCTCTTAATATAGTAATCTAAGTAAAGTAATCCATCAACAGGTGTTGTCGTCTTTTTTTATCATACGATTCAATATTTATATCACGACGTCTATATGTTTTAGGCAATTACTGACAGAATAAAAACACACGGGATTTCAGTAGGTAGCGTAATGATAAGAGGCTGATTCATAGGCAGCCAACAAACAAATACTTTGGAATGTTACATGTTGGACTCACTAATATAAATTATGAAGTTCCTTCAGAAAACTAGCACTGGTGCTTTTTGCATTATTTGTCACATGCCTTCATGAGCGGAGTAGAAGATGCAATTATTCGAATTAACGGCATCACTATATAATTAGTCACGCATAATAGAAGGAAATTGGAAAGGAAAGAGAGTTTGGGAGGAAATTAGTCAAAGAGAGAAAAGAAACATAATAGAGAGACAGAGACAAAGAGAGAGAGAGAGAGAGAGAGAGAGGGAGGGAGAGAGAGAGAGAGATAGAAAGAGAGAGAGAAAGATGGAGAGAGAAAAATAGAGACAGACAGACAGAAAGATAGAGACAAAGACAGAGAGGGAATAGATAGATAGACAGAGAAACAAAGAGAGAGATGAAGAAGTTTATGCAATCTTACCTCATATGTCTTCTGCGGTCCATTCTCATTACTTGCTACGTTCTGAAATTTTGCTTCCTTGTAGTATTTCCTCTTCTTAAGAAGATATAGTACAACGACATCACACATGACAGTAGCCTGCAAACATAAAATAGAACAGGAGATTATGACTTCCTCAAAATAAAGTATAGTCACACATCATGTTTGCTTTCAAATAAAGGAAAAGTGAACCGCTTATTTTCTTCCTCTTATCCTATTAAAGCTGTGGATGATTTCTAATCAACTCTTCAACGTGAAATATTTTGCTCCTTTAAAACGACAAGCTTCGTAGACTTTCATGTCTTTATTAAATTTGATTAAAAAACAAGACAAATAGTTACACAAATGAAAACCTGAGAATCACATAAATAAACACTAAATGTAAATCAGAACGAGAAAAAAGACCAAATGAAGGAAGGCTGACATAAATGCATCTCTGTTTCAGGAGTTTATTATTTCACTATATTGAATAGTCTAGAATCAATGGACACCAATGTATTGCAGGATCATAAAAAACAATAATTGATATCAAAACATTGACTCCCATTGAAAGCACAGGTGCAAACACGCACGCATACATAATATTCACCCGCACGCACAGATACGCACCCCACACACCGATGAACTCACACTTCCATATAACACATCACAAATAAAAGCGTTTGAAAAAGAGTTAAAAGAACTCCATATTTTAACGCGGTAGTAAATAATAAATCTGATCTCAATTTCTAACCTACAGATGGCCTTTGATTAACTAAAATGCAACTAGAGACATGTAACAGTTATCCTTACTTTGGTCAGACGCCACCCTCAAAAAATAAATCCTGCATGCAAGCACATTATTTATCATAAAGCCAGTTCTGCTGTGTGAGTTCTCCAAGAGATGAAAAAATAAATCTCTGCATTAAAGCCATCTGCGTGCCCTGAATACCTAGATTAGCGTTCTGTTATTTTCCAGCTGACCTACATAAATCATTCTTGTAAAAACCATGTGAAAATGACTGGGGAAGCATCTGTAAATATGTCCCCAGTGATTTGACTTGAATCTCCCCTACAGACGTGCCTTCCATGATTATAGATTCTCAGGTTCACTTTGGCAGGAGAAAGCAGACTAGTCATTTTTGTGTGAAGAAATCCAACACATTCACTATTTTGGTCATTTTCCATAGGTAATCAAACCTTATTTTTTATTTCTGGAGATATCCATTTTTCTAATGGGTGTTAATTGTGATGACCAAAAAAAAAAAACCCATTTATTTCCGAACAGTAATTATCTTCATCTTGTGCAGTCGTGTGTTTTAAAATGTGTGTTTAATTATTCAAAGCTTGGTAGCACATAAAAGAAAGCATCGAGTTACCTTGTTTCTTAATTTTCAATGACAAGACCACAACAATAAGTTAATTGATATTTTGGTTTTTATACACCTACTGCATTAATGCTTACTCTAGGGGTAAATATTTGTTTTTGACTGAATTTCTACAAATAATTTTGTTTTCGTCAACTCTAATGTTGCATCCCTGATTTATTACACTGTTATGGTGTTAGAGATAAAAGCAACTGGTTAACACGATATTACTTTAAATCCATGCTGCAAAATGGTTACAGGATTAATACAGACATATCTACTATTCATTGTCTTGTACAGGGAAATGCATAATTCATCGAAGTCTTAATAACCACAATGCTTCTCACGAACCCCACCCATCAGTCAACAGTTATTACAAAATAAAGCAAACATGTCCAATTCGCTAGAAATTGGCTGAATTACGCCCAATAATGAAAACCATTGCCTTTGGATTAATGGCGACTGGCACAATGTTAATTGGGTGTTTAACTCGATAACGGGATTCCGGCCGAAAACTAATAAAAATGTCGTCGATGTTCTCTCAGCGATTCGCGTAATTACGGGGAGGTTTAATTTGGGCACGGCTCGTAACATTAGATGCTAAAGATGGGTATCAGGTATAACATGAAAATGTCACGGCAATTATTGGAGGCGAGGTTTCGCCATCCTCTCTGCATCCAGATTTTGTTTTCAACTGATCATTTGTGGCTACAGAGAGAGGCTGGATATGACCAGGATGAATTGAGGTCTGCGACCAGCCGAATCGATCTCGGCTTTCCGCGAAAGGAATAAAACCGCAGGTGTTACAAATCTGTTTAGGGTACGATGTCACGGATATGTTTACGATCATTGAGCTGTATGAAACAGTTATGGTGACCGCTCAAAAAAGAAAGAAAAAGAAAAGGAGTATTCGGTGTAAATATTTTCGAAAGTCTAGATGTAAACCACACCCTATTCTTTTGAGGTGAAGGTCTACTGTGAACATAATTATCTCCTTTTCTTTGAAAAGAAAATAATAGTTATAGCCATTTAGGTTGAATCAATTTCGAAATTAAAGCCACATTCTATCATTTCGAGGTGAAGAGGTAAAGTACTATAAAGGTTACAAGGAAACTACCTACAAACAGTGTTACAAACATGAAAAGAATATGGAAGAGTTCCCTAATCTCTAATCAGGAAGATGTCATTTTTAAAATCCTTAATCTTTTACCCTAGATACAGTTTTCTCCGAAATTGGTTGAATTCGGGTCGTGCAATTTGCCGTAGGAATGATGAAGATCCATTTTAGAATACTATTATCAGTTTTGGAAATTCAGTGTAATAAAGATCTGTTAGAATCTGACTACAATGATGTTTCCAATCTATTGATAAGAGTCGGCCGGATAAAATTTATCCCGGCAGCTAATATCTTGTATACGCAGCTGTATTTCTAATCCTGCAGCATTCACATTGTCTTCTTGTAGCGAATTACTTTTCACGACCCCGTTTTCAAATAAATGATAATGTAATGATATGCAAATAGTATGTACGGAATAGATAGAGTTGGGCACTTTTCCATGGGTTCTTAAAGGGATCCGGTAACTTTGTCTCAGATTCTGAAACAAAATCCTGGATTTAGCTTATGCTGCAATGATAATTATAAACCTTTAGGTCAGTCAGGAAACCCATGCCTTTTACAAGCCGATCTCCTGTATGATTATCAAGATATTTATGATGGAAATCGAAATCAAATTTTGCGTTTTCCTAACGTTCTTCATAACACTACAGTCTATTGGGGGAAAACGAGTATGGTAAAACCGGTCACTCCCAGATTTGTTTTTACTTTTTTGAGGCACTTCTTGATCATTTTGAAGCGTAATTTTGTTTAGGGCTTCAATATTACACCATATCTCAGACACTGATAACACGTAGGGCCGTGCACCTCAGATTTAACATTGTTAAACGATGCCTTTAAAACAAATATTCCACAGTCAAATGTTACATAAAACACCTCAACCCAGAATGATTTTTTTTTTAAAGGAAAGGTAATTGGCAGATGAAAGTAAGAATACATGATAATCACTATTTATTCTTTAAGGCCAATGTGTTATTTATGTAAATAAATTGTCAAAATGAAAAACAAAGCTCACACAATTGGAGAAGAAAATGAAGGAGGAAAGACGGACAGAATGAGGAAGCAATTGTGTGGGCAGAGTAGAGAGCGATGGTGAGAAAGAGTGAAAGGGAGAAAGAGAGAGAGAGAGAGAGAGAGAGATGGCGAGGGAGGGTGAGAGGGAGAGGGATATGATGAGTGAGAGAGAGAGAGAGAGAGAGAGAGAGAGAGAGGGATGGCAAGGGCGGGTGAGAGTGAGAGGGAGAGAGGGGGTGGTGAGAGAGAGAGAAAGAGAGAGAGAGAGAGAGAGAGAGAGATAGAGAGTGGAAGACAGATGAGATACAAATAGACACAGAGAGGAAAAAAGTCAATACAGATGAGTAGAAGAGAAGGAGGACGGAATAAGAAACGAGAGGTAGCAGTCAACAGATGAAAAGGATGAACATACGTGGGTGTGGACAAGGAGATGGGGGGGGGGGGGGCTGATCTAAAGGCAAGTAATCTGGGATTGGGATAAAGGTGCGAAGGCGCTCTCGTTACCACACAGGTGCTTCAGCTTATAAGGAGATGCTCGAAATTAGAAGCGAGGAGTTTATCTGACGTAACAGTATTACGTGATCGCTGATAAGATAGTATTGGGACGTGTTAGGGGTTCGAAAATAGGACACCAAAGTTAACTATGTACACCGTGTTCCACTTGTGTCAATTCTAGAGGGTGACGATGTCACCTCAAGCCTGGGACCCGAATATTAAAATCTTGCCAAGTGCTTTTTTATGGACTATACAGGGTGAACAAGATAGCAATGACTTTAAAAAATGAGCCATATAGTATTAGCTAAAGAAATCACGTTCGCAATGAGAAACATGCTTTTAGAATAGACTGTTCACCAATTTAATGCATAATTTAGAAAAAAAAATCTTTCTCTCGACGACTGAAATTATTGCTAGGGATTATTATCCTGCATAGTAACTACTGTTTGTAAAGTTTATTTCATCTATAGAGGCGCCATTGTTCTGCATAGCAGATGAATCAAAGAGATGGTAACCAGTGGGTTGGGAGACAAACATGCATTCATAAAAATACATCGGTTTTTTTTTTAACGCCCGTCTGTACTTGTTTGGCCAGGGGGGATTAGGTCTCCATGCAAAGTCGCTGAAAGGTGGTTATCTCATAAAATCAGCTCTCAATTAACATAAGGAAAAGGGGATAATGGGGGCCTTACAGGCACCAATTAGGCATTGTTTGATATCTAGAGGGCGCAAGAAGGTATAAGAAGTGTCGTGCGGCTTTAAATAAGTGATGCATTTGTACGGCTGTTGATATTGCAAGTGGTTGATTTCTTTAGCGTCTTTGCGGTGGTGATGGTGGTAACCATATTTAAACCCACTGTGTGCTATCCGGTGGTCGTTAACAAACATGGAATAACTCTTTTCTCAATATTTAAAAGGTCAACAGATCAGATGTACAGAAAGAAGATGCCTCAAGAAAAGATTATTTTGAAAACAAATAAACGGTTGCTATGGAAACTCGGACCCTATACACGCAACTATACGCAATGAGATGAATACACCACACGGAGAAGGCGGAATAAATACCAAGTAGATGGTATTAATTACAAAGACACGTAATATTTTGGTCTTGAAAAGAACGATCTG